TAGTAGGTTTATGCAAGTTTTGAGCTAGCTTGAGTTTTTAGTTTGGACAGGTTTGAGCAAGCTTTGTTGGTGGGCTTGCTTGGTCCTGATGTTTCTGCTAGCAGGTTTGAAATGCAGGCTTGATTTGTTTGTGTTTTGTTTGACTTGCAGTTGGAACTGCAGGTTTGCAGTTTTTTTTTCTTTAGTTTGTAGCTTGTTGAACTTGTATGATATTCTGCAGGTTTTCAAGTTTTTGAGTTTAGTATTTTTCTCTCCCTCTTATGCAGTTAGATGCTAGACTGTTATATATCTTTTGTTTTTTCTTTAAAATTTGAAACAACCTGCTTTTTGCCCAAACTGCAAATTTTCACTAAAGCTTCTCTCTCTCCTCCCTCTCCTAAGCACCTTTGCTTATTATATTGTAATTTCTGAAAAATTTGCCTAGAAAAATGATGATGGCTTTGACAAGCCTCTTGCTTGTCAACAGGTTTTCCTCTGCATTGTATTACCTGCTGCATTTTCTGTACTGTGTACTTTATGTACTTGTATGGTTTTGCTAGTTGGCTTACTTGACAATTTTGCATTTAGTTTGACATGCTTGGAACCTTGTTGCATTTGGTTTGATTACTACAGTTTGGTTTAGTTTGCAGTATAATAGGTGCCCATCATATTTGAATTTTGGCGCCTTGGTTTGCCTTTGCAACGCCTATGTTTTTGCATTAGAACCAATTGTATGTTTGCATTTTTTATCTTTTACTCTTCTCTTTGTGAACCAAGAAGAGAAATCTTCTTGTGATTTGCAAGGAGAAAAATAAAACATGATGAACAAAAAAAATTCTGATTCCGACCGGCAAACTTTAATGATGATTTCTTTTCTTTCTTTTTCAATTGAAAATTCTTCTATATTAATCTCTTTTCTTCTGTCTTTTGCAGGTGAGTACCAATTGGATGATAGAGGAAGCAGTAGAAGTCAAAGATATTAGGAGATTAGGCTTAGCTTTATTTTTTCATTTATTGTAAACAAATATTATCTTAAATACTATAAGTTGTAATCTTACAATATTCAAATAAATTTTGTAACAACATTTGAAGTAAATAAAAGTCTTTATCCAAAAGAAAATTTCTACTGTCAAATATCTTTTCAAATTTTCCTTTGCCTCTTCACTTTTATATTTAAGATTCCTGATTAAAAATAATGACTGAAATTGCATTCCACCATTTTTAATACAGATGACTTAAAATCCAAGTAATCCATAAAAACTCTACAATCTCTTTGCATCAATATACCAATCAACATACGCGTTGTGCATTCCAAACCAACAAGCATTTCCATTAACTGGCAAACATTTCATTCTAATAACAAGCAGATGTTTTAACAGGCGCACACTATCTGGTTAATCTGGATTAGACAGTTTCAGCTCCTATCTCTTATCCCAGATAAACAAAACTTGAGGACAAACAACAATCTTTTAGTAGGCTTAAAAAGTGTGAAAACAATGTAACATGACATTGAATTTCTATGGACTTAATTTCTTCTGAGAAATGCGAGAGAAACCCTGATTCTTGATTTACTGCCAAAGGAAAGTCTGTTTGATCAATTCATGAGCCAATCTCAAAAATCAGAGAAAACCCTAGGGTTGTGATTTCTTGTGAAAAAGGGAGGGAAAATTTTGGGGTACAACAGTACCCCATATGGGCTAATAAAAGAAGAACTCCTAGATGAGAATGACATATTTTGAGAGAAGAGTAATGGCACAAAAGGCTGAGTACTAACCATGGACATAAGATCGATATGACTCTGCGGAGAAGGGCACATGGTCGACTGAGGTGCCTTACATGTTACTAACCTCGGACGTTGAAACTTTTTACCACTATCCTTACTCTTATCAATTCGAGCTGGCATTTTACCTATTTATTATTAAAATATATTGTTAAAAATAATTACTATGTTTAATATTCTTTTCTATATTCTATTTTAATATATATATATATATATATATATATATATATATATATATATATATATATATATATATATATATATATATATATATATATATATATATATAACTACATATTTTATAATAAAAAAAGCATAATTTTTTTTCTTTTACACTATATATATATACATAACTATATATCAAATTAAAAAAAATTCAAACAACAACCAACAATATAATTAATATATACATATATAACAAATTTAAAATATAATTAAATAACATAAATATCTATTCTTCAATCTCCTTCAACTTCTTGTACAACCCTTTTGTTGAATCTTCCTTCTAATCTCTTTATTTCTTGACAAAAAAAACATAAATCAATATCACAATATTAACCTAAAACGAAAATATTAAAAATAAATTGAAGAAATATTATACCTTTGTTACAAAAGAAATTTTGAATTGAATATGGATGTTATGGAGAATAAGAATTGAATTGAAATGGAAGAAGACATAAGAGAGAAAGAAGAAAAGAAGGTAGGAAAAAACACAAATAGTTTCTGGAAAGAGAGAGCGTGTATGTTTATTAACCAATCAGCGACGTGAATTTCACGTCGCAACCTTGCCACGTGAGATTCACGTCGCAACCCCCAAACATTATAATTTAAATATTAACCAATCAACGACGTAAATTTCACGTCGCAACCTTACCACATGATATTCACGTCGTAACTCCTACAACGATTATATTTTTATTCAGTCAACCTGCACATTTCAGAAGTACATCATGTTAAAGACAAAGTTTTTTCTTCTTAAAAATTGCGATGTGTTAAACATGTCACAATAATTTTTTTTGAAAAATTCAAAATTCTCCCTTCAAAACGCTCGACGCTTAATATATTTTTATTCTACTTTTTATGTTGTGACGTGTTTCCTACGTCGCAATTTTTTTATACAAAAAAAATCTGACTGACGCAGACCAAACCTTGCTTTTATTACTTAAATGTTAAAATAATGTAGTGACGTGATTATCACCCTGCAACTCCAAATTTTTGTGACATGATAATCACACCACTAAAACACGTCGCTGGAGAGCATATTTCTTGTAGTGTGTATGATTAAGATGTTCTTAATTTGCAAATGATTTATTGAGATTGCACATACATCATTCGTGTCAAGAGGCAATGTCTGCTAGTTTTCGTGAGAATTAATGGCTTGTCCCAAACCCAATGCTGAGGGGTTTGAAAGCTTACGGTTGACGAGCTTTTATTGGTGGTTATCTGTCTTAGAGATATGGACTCGGAAGGACCGGAAATGATAACAATTGATACCACATGCATTTGCATTGAGTTGTATTAAAGTCACATATGTCGATGTGAAATGTTAAATTGTGTGCATTATGTGATTTTAGTGTGAATGTTACATTTGTGGTAATTGTGATTGGTTACCTTTGAATATTAAATCATTGAACAATGTTGTATATGTAATCATGTGAATTGATGCGAAGTATGATGAATACATGATTATGTGAAGTGTGATGAATTCGATTGATGCTTGTATGTGTTGCATTACATATTATTATATATTTCTATAATGATATGAATTCTCACCCTTCTGTTGAAATGATGTTTTATACGACATCACTCAGGTACCGAGCATAGCGATGATGCTTCTAACAAGGAGTAGTTGGAGGAGCTAGTCCTTTATTTATCCGTTTTACTAGGTAGTGAGTCATACTCTAGTCTATGTAACACGAAAATCGTTTAGATTCATGTTTATTTTGTTATATTCATGTTTATTGAGAGATGTTGTTATACTCTCTGAATATTTATGTTGGATTGAGATGTATGTGATGATGGCCTTTGATGTCGAATATTTTATGGTATGATTGCCAGTATGAGATTTCAATCATTATTACCGTTATGAAAAAATTTATTTTCCGCTGCTAGATGCATATATATTATTATATAGAATATTATTCTAAATGCGTGTTATGATCATGACCAATGCATATGAATTTCTTGAGTTTCGTGAAGTACATGTGATGCCCTCTTTGTTATACATGCTAAACTACTCTGATTATACCGTTTATTTTATGCGGAATTTAGGAGGTATTACAATTCTCCATCCCTAAATATGAAAAAAGTAACCTCATAGAATTATAGGAAGTATAAGAAATACTTCAAATGAGAGGAACCACTATCCAATTTCTACGAAGAGTTCTAGATGGTTCTCATCTTCTTATATTCGAAAGCTAAATAAGACAAAACGAACGGTACATTCAACTTAGAACATTTGTAGCGAGAATTTAGTGGCTTATTAATCCTTAAATTATGTTGCTTATTTTTTTACCATTAAAATGTGATAATGTAGCAACATTGACTCCTTAAACTTAAGGAATGAAACTTACTGTAAAATTAAAAATTTAACATTAAATATTTTTTGTTGAGGAAATTCAATTAAAAACTAATTTATGTATATTTTATTATTATATAGTATAAACAAAATATTATAAATTAGCAGAATTAAATATATATTGTTTATTTACATTATCATTATTGAAGAAAAAAAGTTGAGATTACTTAAATGCTACGTGGCAATTTCCTACCACCAACTTACATCCCTTCCTACAACCAACCAGCTAAGCAATACTATTCTCGAAAACAACATGCATCCCAACAAATTAATACAATCATGCAAAGTCCATAAAATATCTAAATTAAAAACTGTTCTAGATCCAGCAAAACTATTCTAGTTGCATGTTTGTTTGTATTTGGTGAGTAGTTCTTGTACTCACTTATCTATCTTTTGCCATTAACAAAAAAACATTGAGAATAAGTGTGAGAAATCTAATATCATAAAAACAAAAAAGACTAAACCGATGTATATACTATTTTACAATAAAATGCAATAATAATTTCATTACACAACAACTCAAACACTTGTTATGAAAACAATCATATTAAAGCAAAGCAGTCTAAAACCCTAATCACTTTAATTTCCATAAAACAAAAGCAAAACAAATTAGCTCACTCACTCAACTTGAAAATAAAGTAAAAACATTGATGCACCCTTAAATCAACTAATACTTATGCTCCTCAATGGTTCTTCTGGTATTAATTCTGAATTTGGATTGTCCTTTGTTAATCCCGTAGAAGTCGTTTCTGCTGCTATTTCTGCTCTCGGTTTGTATACCGATCTAAGAAAGTTATAAGCAAGTGCTCCAGCTACAGCTCCAATAATTGGACCAACTACATATATCCATAAACCTTTGTAAATATGTATCACAATTGCAGGTCCAATACTTCTCGCTGGATTCATCGATGCACCCGAAACAGGTCCTGCTATAAATAGATTCAACGTTATCGTCATTCCAACTGCAATACTCGCCGAATCATCCACTGCTCGATCATCCGTAGTAACAGCTGAAATAACAAACATTAACAGAAAACTGATAATGAACTCCATAGCTAAAGATTGACCACTCGATCCAACTGGCACAGTTCCGAAAAATGATTTTGGCGTAATATCAAACATTAAAGACAGTGTTAAACTCGCAAGTGTTGAACCGAGTAACTCAGCAGCAATGTAAAGTGGAGCTTCTATGATTCTGATTCGGCGAAAGATGGCCCAAGTTATGGTAACCGCAGGGTTGAAGAGTCCTCCGGAGATATGACCAACTGAGTAACACATGACTGTTACAACCAAACCCCAAGTGATGCATATACCTGGAAATGTTACGGAGCCATAGATTTTGTCCACTGCTACAACACCACAACCTGCAAATACAAGAAAATATGTTCCAATAATAACAGGGGGCAGTTTGTCAATAATAACAGCAATTTGAAATTGTTCATTCAGAGGCATACCTTCAGTTATGATTTCATGAGCAATTTTCTGAATTTCGTGGCTTTGAGTTTCCACAGACTTTTCATCCACCATCTTGTAATTCAAGTAGCGGCTGACAGCATATTTCTTTGCACCTGCTTCTTCGGTATCATATTTCTTCTGCAAGGCTTCCCACACTTCTTTGGCAGTGTTGTAATTACTGTAGTAATCGTACAGGTCATCAGCAAGACCGTTCAGGATGTGATTTTTGCATAGGTAGTCATTCTCTTGCCATATGGCAATTTCTTTTCGAAGCTGTAAATCATGTGCTGCGGCTTTGGCTTTCGCAGCAGCTTGTGCTTCTGCAGAGCTGGGAGCTATGTCAGAAGTTACAATGGTTGCAGCATCAGTTTGTTCGGTTGATCCAGAAGGAACAACAGGGATATCCTGAGTCAGAACGTGGGCAACCTTCTTGATAGTCAAGAAAAATCTCATCTTAGCTTGCCAACGTTTGAAATGGGAACCCTCAAACTTAAACGGTTTGTCAGTGACAGCAGCGACCGCATTATTACCGATAATTTCCTCAGTAGCCATGGCAGTTAAGGCAAACGTCTTAAAATTGTTGTTCACGGATTAGTTAAAAAAAAGAGTAGCCACTGAGAAATTTATCGGGTCGAGTCGCGGATCGGTACGCTTTCTTTAAGACGTTTCGCCGGATGCCAACAAAGTGCAAGGCAGTCGATAATAGGCGACGTCTCCAGGATAAAACAGCCCGTTCGAATAAAATACGATTATCACTTGCACTGTGATAAATCGTTCTATGAATAACACCTTCTGATGGTGTAGAAACCACTCGTAGTATCTGCGAAGGAGCAGTCGAAAAAACAGAGTAAGAAAATTGAGATGAAGCAGAATAGAGAGAGAGAAGAAGTGAAAAACGAGATTGTGAATACTGGAGTTATTTGCAAATGAAATAATCACTAATTCAACAAAACGGTTCGAAAAAATAGGAAGAACGTGGGAGAGGGTTGAATTGGCCCAGTCAAAAGTAACTGTTATTGCTTGGTCAGACAGTTATGCGTTTTGACTCTTGGAAGGCAAGTAATTGACACGTCACTAATTCCGTAATTAATTAATATTAAATATTAATTAATTTCCACTATTTTTTAATTAATTAATGCTAATTAATTCCACCGAATTAATTAATTATTAATAATCATTAATAATTAATTTTCACCAAAATCCGGTTCAAAAAATTAATTCATCTAGACCGAACCGAACCGAACCGAACCGAACCGAGCCGAGCCGGCCGGTCGGACGGACGGACGGCGGCGGCGGCGCGCGCGCGTGTGTGTCTAGATGACTTAGTGGTGTGTCCTCACTCCTTAACAAAATTGGGGTGCCCCTTGGGGCCCAACCCAAGTGTCCAAGTTGGAGTATTTATGCACTACTAGAAGTTGTGTTCCCTCCAATGTGGGACTTAAATGAATCCTTTCAAATTCACTCACAAACTAGTTCATTCATGTGCTCATTTATTGCCCATTTAATGTCAATGAATCATTCCAATTCCCAATCCAAGTTGTCATCATTCCAAGATTTCCAACAATCCCCCACTTGAATTTAAAAGGTGATTTTAGAGGTAACGTCAGACGTTTCTAAGATGGTGCATAAGCAAAGGTGTCTATGACTTGAACCTTTGCGTAGCAAGTAGGATTCTGATTCAACAAGAGTGACACAATTGTCTTGAACTCTATCTCAGACATCAGACCCGCACACAACCTTTTCTTTAAGGTGTATTCTAATAGCCCGTGCTTTAATGGCCCTGCACGTGTATCCCGGTTTAGTGAAAGCTCTAGGAATTTTGCCTCGCAATTCCATAGGAACCGACCCAAGTTCCACAATCACCAAGGTGAGTCTATCAAGAGTACTCCTGTAGTCTAGGTACTCCCTCATACAGAGTATAGATCTCATTAAGAGTTTCTATTATCTCAACCTCTTATTACTTCAGGAATCATGCTTCTCTTGCATGATCATCTCATATCACTCACAACTTGTTATTACCCATTGAACCTATTTCTTGGGATCTCCAGTCATTTAGGTCGGGTTACCATTGTGAGCAACTCATATTCATATAGGCATTAGTCCCATCTTATATGATGTGTTATAGACTTTCTCTCTAGCTAATCCTTTCGTCAAAGGATCTGCTAAGTTTTCATCAGTGCGTACATGATCCACTCTTACAGCTCCTTTAGAGATACAGTCTCTAATGGTGCTGTGCTTTCTTCTTATTTGACGTCTTTTACCATTATAATAACGGTTCTCAATTTTTGCAATAGCCGCGGTACTATCGCAGTGGATCAACACAGCTGGCATAGGTTTTTCCCATACGGGAATCTCAGCTAGCAAGCATCTTAACCAACTTGCTTCTTCACTAGCTGTGGCTAGTGCTATCATTTCAGACTCCATTGTGGACTGAGCCAGAATGGTCTGTTTCTTTGATTTCCAAGATACAGCTCCTCCGGCTATACTAAATATATAGCCACTAGTAGCTTTGGAATCATCTGACAAAGTATTCCAGTCAGCATCACTGTATCCTTCAAGTACAGCAGGAAATCTCTGATAATGTAAACCGAGGTTCACAGTCTTTTTAAGATATCTCATGACTCGCTCAATAGCTTGCCAATGTTCATTACTTGGTCTACTAGTAAACCTGCACAACAATCCCACGACATATGCAATGTCAGGTCTAGTACAGTCAGTAGCATATCTAAGACTTCCAATGATACTTGCATATTCTGTCTGTTTAACACTTTCACCAGTGTTCTTAAACAGTTTCATGCTTGGATCGTATGGAGTGCTAGCAGGTTCACAATCAAAGTAATTATATTTCTTTAAGATCTTTTCCACATAGTGTGATTGATCCAAAGAAGTTCCTTGTTTGGATCTAGTGATCTTGATACCGAGGATTAAATTTGCTTCTCCCAGGTCTTTCATATCAAAGTTGTTGCACAACAAAGATTTCACATCATTAATAGTCTGAATGTTTGATCCAAATATAAGTAGATCATCTACATAAAGACATATGATAGTGCAAATGCGATTCTCAGATTTGTAATAAACGCATTTGTCACTTTCATTCACTTTATATCCATTTGATATCATTAAGTTATCAAATTTTTCATGCCATTGCTTAGGGGCTTGTTTTAGTCCATATAGAGACTTGTCTAACTTACAAACCTTGTTTTCTTGTCCATGGATCACAAACCCTTCTGGTTGTTCCATATAGATTTCTTCCTCTAAGTCACCATTTAAAAAAGCTGTTTTAACATCCATTTGGTGTACTATTAAGTTATAAATAGCAGCAATTGAAATAAGTACCCTAATGGATGTGATTCTAGTGACTGGAGAGAAAGTGTCGAAGAAATCTATATTTTCTCTTTGTCTAAAACCCTTGGCTACAAGGCGAGCCTTGTATTTATCAATAGTTCCATCAGGTTTTAGTTTCTTTTTCAGAACCCATTTACAACCGATCGGTTTGCAACCAGGAGGCAAGTCTACTAAGTGCCATGTCTTGTTAGAATCTAGGGATTCTATCTCATCATTTATAGCTTCTTGCCATAAATCTGCATCTAGAGATGACAATGCTGCTTGAAGATTTATTGGATCTTCTTCTATATTATAAGCCGCATAATCAGGCCCATAGTCTTTAGCGACTCTTACTCTTTTACTTCTCCGAAGTTTTGTTTCTACTTCGTTGTTGTTTTCTGTACTTCTTATCACAGGAATGTGACTCGATTGGGTGCCCCCACTATTTCTCAGTTTGAAAGGAAATTTGTCTTCATAGAATTCAACATCATTTGATTCTATGATTACTTTTGCATTTAGGTCGTAGAACCTATATGCCTTACTGTTTGCTGCATATCCAATGAATACACATTCATATGCTCTACTAGCGAGTTTAACTCGTTTCGGATCCGGAATTCTGACATAAGCCAGGCAGCCCCAAGTTCTCAAATAAGACAAGTTTGGTTGTCTTTTCTTTAATATCTCATATGGTGAGATCTTACTTTTTGACTTGGGGATTCTATTCAGGACGTAGCAAACAGTCAATAAAATTTCCCCCCACCAGTGAGGAGCAGCACCAGAATTTATCATAATTGCAACAACAAGTTCGGTAAGAGTCCTATTCTTTCTTTCTGCTTTACCATTCATTTCAGGAGAATATGGAGCAGTCGTTTCATGTATAATTCCATGTTCTTTATAAAAGTCATTAAATAAACCAGAATCATATTCAGTCCCCCTATCACTACGAAGTCTCTTAATCTTCTTACTAAGTTGATTCTCAATTTCAGTTACATATGTCTTAAACATTTCAAGCGCTTCACTTTTATTCTTCATTAAGTATACATAAGTATAATCTGAATTATCATCAATAAAAGTGATAAAATAACGTTTATTGTTTCTAGTTAAACTTCCATCTAGTTCGCATATATCAGAATGTATAAGATCTAGGGGATCAGATTCCTTATTAATTGATTTATGCGAAGTCTTGATTATTTTTGCTTGACTACAGTATTCACATTTATTTGTATCATTAATACTTAATTTAGGGATTAGGCCCAAGTTGCTCGCATTATGCATAATTCGCTTATTAACGTGACAAAGTCTAGTATGCCAAATATTAAAATCACACAAAGAGTAAACAGAAGGAGAAATCTTATTAAAATCAACATTCAACTTAAACATGCCATCAGTGGCGTACCCTTTCCCAACAAAAATACCATTCTTAGTGATGGTGTACAAATCTGCCCCTAAAGTTTGACTAAACCCTGCCTTATTTAAAAGAAAACCAGAAACAAGATTCTTCCTAATTTCAGGAACGTGCATGACGTCCTTCAAGATCAAAGTCTTTCCTGAGGTGAATTTCAGCTCAACATCTCCAATTCCAGCAACCTTAGTGGTGTGAGCATCTCCCAACAACACTTTCTTATCTTCAGCATTCATGTATGTTTTGAACATAGCACGATCGTAGCAGACATGACGAGAGGCGCCAGTGTCTATCCACCAACCATCACTTCCACCAACCATGTTGACTTCAGTGATCATAGCAATGA